TGGCACACAAAATTAACAATTTTGCCCAAGGGCACGTAACTAATAAATGATATAACTAAGCTCTGATCAAAAACTTGTTTATTAATTAAATGTAGCATGGAGATTTTAATTCTTTTATGGGGAAGAAATGTCTAAGACACTGGGAGCTTCCATTTTAGTCTATTTATAAATTAAAAATTTCAAATTCATAAAGAAGAAATATGACTATACCCACAATTATAAAATAAATCTACAAGAGAACTAACTAAAACCTTTTTAGTCTTACAGTTCCGATCTAGTATGACTAATGTCTTCAGTGACAGCACTACAGTGCCCTGCTTGTTAAGTATGAAACTGAAACTGCATTATTTATCAGACATGCCAATTTCAAAGCATTTTCTGACAATAAATTTTAGATTACATAAAATTTTATAAAATATGTAAATTTCATGTAATATATGCAAACTTTGGGTACAGTTTATCAGAAACTCTTTCTTGGAAAACGAGATAGCCTTCTCTCCAGTTAGAAAAATGCAAATAAAGTCATTTCAGCTAGAAAATCTTTGAACTTCTTTCAAGACTACCAAGCTTATCTCAGGAACACAAGTCTTACTATAATTTAGTCACACATTTGGAGAAAGAGAGTCTGTTTCAGTGAAATCTTGCATATTTTAAACTCTATAAATAATGAACATCTAAATGCTCCAATTAACTACTGTGAAAACCCTTATAAGAAACTATCAATCATTTCAGTCTATATTTTACCGTAACTTAGCAATATTCATGACTTCTTAATTCCTACTTAACATCTACATCATGTCTTTTAAAGCAGACCTTAAATAATGGAAAATATGGAGTAGTAGGCAGTGATGGGCTTTGAGATTATGAAACCAACTCACAATTAAGTAATCTATGTAAGTTGGCTGTGTCTATAATAGGCTACATATTATAATTCAGTAACTATTCAATACATATTTATTAAACAGCTATGTGCTAGCCACTTTAGAATAAGTGGATAAAGTGATGAACAAGAGAAATTTAGTCAGCACTCAAACATTTTATATTTTGGATACTGATATAATAGTTTTATATTCCATCCTCTTCATAC